TTTTGCCTTGCTAGCCACCCTATTTTTATGAGATGGATACTGTGGGGATCCACATTTCCCGTCATGCTGCTGCAGAGTAATCAACTGAGGTATGAATTCAAGGAATATAATAAAATAACACTTTCTCCACCCAAACCTCGTGTCTTTGTTCTTTCGCTCACATAATTAAATACGTTGTCAGCCGTTGTCTCCTCGGAATTGTCCCGCTGCTCTCCATATGGATGACATGATAGAAATGAGTTTAGTATTGACGTTGATAGGATTAAATATCATTAGTAAAATTTTCGCTTCTTTTTTCACTCGTTTTCTTCTGTTAGAATGGTGTGCATCGGCTACACAAAAAGTTTGCTAAAGCTTTGTCTACCCCTACCCGCGAGTACGTGTTCTTTCGCTTTCATATAAACAAAATGTACAGTAATAAACTGGAAAAAGTGGCACGAGACAACCTTCAACTACGTTGCCATTTTTGTTTTAACATTAAAAAAGGTATTGAATGTATAGACACAAGAATTTCGGTGATCTACACCGCTCACTGATTTGCGTATTGTCACTAGAATGCAATAATCCGCAAAGCCAAGCATCCTCTTGAAAAAAAGAGAGATTTGGCTTTTATAACGATCGGTTACTATACTTGTATTTGCGTGTGCATTACATGGCGTAGAAAATGTATTCAACAGGTCACGAGAAAGGGAAAATAGCGCCGGATTTTAAATAGCCCCGTGCTCATGTTGTCACACAAATTGTTTGTTATGCGTATCAGTCCAACAAAACGTGACCTCGTTCCCAGGGCCTTTTCCCTGTGAAAAGGCCCTGGGAACGAAGTCGGACAAAACGTTGAACCTCAATAAAGTAGAGTTGCATCACACTGGTGTATAACCCTGGATGATTACAAGTTCTCTTTTCTTTTTCCAGGAAATGATGGCGACAATGATGTCTCATCGATGAAATTACGGCGTAACAAACCGTTTACATAGTTGGTAAAATAAGGGCTGACGAAGTAACTGAATAAATGCGGGTAATGCTGATAGATGCGTAAATGCAGTGGATAGAAAAAAACACTTGATGTAACAAGGGGATAAATAAAGGTTGAATCATTCAAAAACATCTCATTTGCCTCCATCATTTATTCAAACAGCAAGTAGGAAATAAAAGTAGGGGGTAATTTTGGGATGCAACATCATTGACTTCTCTGCGCAAAAAAAAAAAAAAAAAAAAAA